TTTGATTCTTGCTAGAAAATAGCAGCACTTCGTATTACAAGCATTGTTACTCCTTCTAACTAAGCACTTTTTGGCACAATTCTATGAAAAGATATAAACCCGGGAAAAATCAATTTCAAGAAATCAAATTTGCTGCTATGCTATGCTTTCGGAAATTCATAAGGTTTCAAGAGAAATGCAGTTGACACAAAATTTACTCATTTAGAAAGAGCAAATAATAAGAATCATAAGCTGACTGCCTTGTCGTTTATAAAACTTTTAGGTTTTCCACAAACAAACTCAGATAATTTGAATCTTGAGTAATTAATTGGCTTATTGCTGGCCATAGCTATAGAGCCACCCTAGAATCACGGTAATTTGCACGATCTCTCACGTGTGGCATGCCACACTCACTTTGAGTCTCCTGATCCTTACCCTTCTATCGATATAATGGGTAGTGGTAAGAAGAGAGAAAGCAGATTTCCAAGAAACAGCGCAGGCTGAAGCTGCCATTTCTCAGATGAAATCATAGCTAGATGCATCTCATTGCATAAGGAGAGCAAGCAAAACTCCTCTAAAAAGCTATTTGTACGTTTGATGCAAAACTGCTTTAGATGCTTCCTTTTGAAAGCTTACTAGAATCGTCATCTCCATTCGTTTCAACATTCTAATTGCTGTTACAAAACATAGGCCGCAAACAACAACTTTGCGCTTCTACTTGCAGGCTTAAATTCAATTTCGCTATCAGATGCTTCGAACTTCACATGATACGCCTAGCACAATAGTCCCGAAAGCAACACAACGTCCAACATGTACCAAATTCGCTGTTTGCAGCGCCAAAAATCAATACAGAAAATCAGTCGTAGGGCTAGTCTGTAGTAAACCCTTTTCAGCCGACTCGGTTGGGGTGGGTCTAAGTTGAATGTAGCAGACCTCAGCCCGGCATCAAGTGAGCTATTGATCTGAATGAGAGTGGCTTTGTAGGCATGAAAATCTTGCGTGCTCTCAAGGGGAAACACTTTATGCGTCGGTTGGTTGGTGGTTGGTTCAATGTATAAATGATTGCGATTTAGCCTGCACATCAGGTTCGAGATCGGCTAGAGGTTTTTGCTGCATTCTGAACAATCTTTGATAACGGCCACTATCGTAGAAATGATAATAACCGCTATCAAGGAGTTCAAATAACAATTAAATAGATAAAAGAAAACTACGATTAACCGAAATTACATGGAAAATTGAAAAGGTTGGAACAAAGTCGAATGAATTAGTTAATTAGAAAAATTAAGCTGCTTTTTCAAAAAATCTAAGCACTCTGCGAAAAAAAAAGAATCTATTTTTTGGTTTTCCTCGTCACAAGCTGTTCGTCGATCCTCTCCTCTTTGGACGCGATACTATGCAATTTTGCGCGTTTTGTGCCGCAGAAATCGTGAGTCTGGACTCACGTAAGTTACTCAACAACACTTAGCGGCTTGTTTGATTCTCCGCGTTTGCACACCATTCTCCTCGGATCAACCCAGGATCTATAATACTTTTAGCTTAGTTGCATTACGTTGAGGCTGTGGACTTGAGAGGACAACACCATTTCGAAGCATGGGAAGATGGTCTTTAGTTTAACTCGAAACTTCTTTGAATAGGTTATCTTAATTTAAATGAGCCGAATGGGGGCTTACCATGGGCCTATATTGCGGTCCACTGCGTCATATTTGGAATCTAGTGCCAAAGTGTAAGATTATTGGTTCATTCTTGAACAGTTATAACGGTAAATGTAGGCATACTCTCCTTTACTGTATAGCAAAGTAGTTCAGATCTTTGAAAAATCAATTTATCTTTTTAGAGTATATCAACATCCAGACTTACGGAAAAAGCATGCGTTTAAAAAATTATGATTATAGGAAACGCATTAAATTGTACGGCATTAAGCTGTTTCCTTAGGCAAAAAACTGCTAAAACCTGAATGAGATAAAAAAGACAACAGCCGAAGTAGATTAGACAACTTTTCGCAGTAGAGATTGCGACATTTTTCTGTATTCTTAGACATATCTGACATTGTGCCTAACGGTGGCAGAGTGTTCACATATACTTCTGCGTCTTGAAGCGGAGTTTTTGAAGAGACGTTCTATACTAATCGTAAGAACTAAGAGGAAATGAGGCTAAAGAGCATGACTATGTTTAGAAACCTAGCGAACAGGAAAGAAAACATTCAGCCTCTGAGTATCAGATTGAAACGTTTCCTCAAAAACTCCGCTTTAGAGCATTTGTTAATGCCTAAATCACGCAGTTAAACTCATAAAAGGTACAGATTAGGCTGGTGCGATATTAATGCATGTTTTTGAGGATTGACATTTCAGTGAGCTGCAGAACAAGCATTATCGCAGCTCTATGCTCTTTTAGGCTAAGGGCATACCTCACGCGATTTCAGTCGCGCCGCGATTTAGCAATACTCCAATTGTGCATAACTCATCGTAAGGGTTTTCTAGATGTACGAAATATAGGTCATTTTATCAACTTACCAAAACTAAATATGCTGTGCATTTGGGGTCTGCCAGTATTGAATTTGAAGGTATCTGGCATATTGCCAGATCGCGTGGCGACTGTAATCGCGTGAGGTATGCCCTTAGCCTTATACAGTAAGAATTATCAAAAGTGCTAAACTTTTCTCATTATCTATTGCATACCGCAGTACTGACATCACAAAAGAGCAGGAAACAATGGACTGTAAAAGAGAAGAGTTTCTATTCAAAACATAATTTTTGTTCAACTCTTTTTGACTTTTTTGTTAAGACTGGGAGGCATTTTGCTGTACAAAAGCAATTTCTATGCAAATAAAAAATGTTGCATTGTCAGCTTTCAGTAATGGGATATAACCCTCCCACGACATACGTTTCGTTCTAAGAGCGTGAAGAGGTTTTCATTTGGTCTAATACTTGAATGTCCTAGAATGCAGGCTTGATTCAGAGATTTTCTGATCCTTAGAGTCGTTGCAGATACTATTTATATTTAGGCGGCTAATTCTTATTCCGAATATGAAAGATTGTTTCTAGCCGTGATGTAAGTGGACAATGTCCATAACGTACATTAGCTTTGTTTCTGATGGAAGCTTTATCTGCATTTCAGAACGACTATGAAAGTCATTTCAAAAACTTTGTATTGAGTTCTTTCAAACTTCACCAGACTGAGCTAGCGCCATGAACCAAGATAATGAAAAAGCATTCGGGTTTCATTGGGCTGCTTTATGTCCTCGTGTTTTGACAAGGTATTTGATGAAGAAAGTTGTTCCGAAAATATGATCAAAAAATATGAATGTTCTGCTATGTTATGTTCTGTTAAAGTTGTTATATGTTCATGTTAATTGCATGTATTTATTACATGTTCATGTTGAGTGTGTGTTCAAAGTTGCGCGTAATGAAAAAAATCTTGTATTCACATAGCAACAATTTTTATGGAAGCTTCTAAATATAATTCTTTCACACTCAACAATTTGTGCGTCTTCTTTATTTTTCGCTATCGTCCAGTTTAAGCAGGAACACCTGATAAATCAGTGCTGAATCAGTAATTCCGAACAGATTTAACAGCATAAAAGAAAGCTCTGAAAGCACAACTTTTGAAAATTGTACATACAATTGTTTAAAAACGCATCTCACCGTAAGCTTTTTTGTGGCTTGTTGAGCTGAGACAGAATTGGCATGTCCTTTATTCGACTAACGTTTTGGCGGCATGACCTTCTTCAGAGTCTAAAATTATTGAATGCATAGATAAACTATCCCATCAAAAACCGCCTCAATATTAGGAAGACACCCAATGCGTCAGGGAACCAAGAACTCGAAAGTGAATGCAGGATTAAAGTAATGCTTACCTAAACAAATGCCAAAAAAGTAGTGTTGCTCAGAAGCCGCAAAGGCTCCGATACTGTGCCAACTCATGATATCTACGCACTCATCTTTTCAATTCAAATCAGGATTTTTGGCGGCAATCCAAAACGCCTTCAAAGTCTTGTGGGCTAGGATCTTGGGTTCGCACGCTAAGATCAGGACCTCTACGTTATGTCTGCTTTGCCTGTCCGCCCGTAAGCTATTCATTCGGTGTTTTCCTAGCTTTTCCTAGGTGACTTTTGGTTACTTTTAATGGGCCCGTGCTATTAAGCTTCACGCATCGAATGCCATTCCTAGGCGAGTGCAGAATTTCCCTTTATAGGTTAGCCATAAGTTGTCGAGCACTTGTTTTTTTTGCAGACTCAATGGCTTTTTATTATGTAAATAACCATTACATTGACTGAAGTGAGCCCCTGCTATTAGGTTGGAACACAAGTGATTGTGCCGAAATAGGTAAAAACGCAAATATTCATATTTTTCTGTAACCGAGATAGGTTCTGATCCATTTGATGGAGCAAAGCTAACTTTACAAGACAGTGATCAAAGGCTTGCATTGAGTTTGATTCATACGGAGTTTGACCAAAATCTCCTAAAAATCCACGCACCCGAAAGATGGAGGAAAAATCGCAACTCCGAAAAAAAACTACAAAGATTTCTGCTTACCTAGCATATGCATTCCACATCAGACATCAAATAAGTACCCCCTACATCCACAGAGGACCTATAGTTTATTTGCTTATTTCAAGCAGGTTTCCCAAAGCATGTCACGGGTCATGGCATACTAGGAAAGGATTCCCTAATGAGTAGTTCTCGCAAGCAGTTAGATTGTGTTCACGCAAGGGAAGTACAGGATGCAGGGGGAATTGTAAGACCGTGATCCACAAGGTCCATCGCCGCCCGCGAAATACCCTGCGACGGTTTTTACCTAAGCAAAGCTAGCGGACGAGAGGTTTACGGCAGGCTGACGGAAGACCGCCCATGCTAAAGTAGGTCTCCCGTAAGTGCACCATGGTTATCCTAACAATGAGTGAAAATATTAAATTAATAGATGGCTTGTTGGAACGTTGCAACTGTGAAGTTATACAAGTTCACCCTTGCTAAGGCCATCATTCATCGAACATGGAGCATAGGTCTTATTCTCTATTCCTTTCCCTCCGATGAGTCAGCTACAACCAGTGCCTAGATCTCAATCAGCCCCTCCTTTTTCAAGAATAAATCCGATGCCTCCTCTCAATCAACCTGTACCGAATCTAAACGATTTGTTCTATCCGCCACCTATGGCAGCCGTTCCAAACCCTACACCATTACTTCCCTCTCAGCCTACTGCAGCAACCTCCCCTTCTCCATTTTCTCCGCAACCAGTGGCAGCATCTAGTGGAAAAAGCGAAGGCAAGAGCTCAAAAATGTCCAAACGTAAACGTGTAGAGTTCATAGTAAGTTATCCGATAATACTCTTACTAAACTTGTGCGAAGAATTCCAGCCTCCTGTGGAGTACATCGACGTATCGGGTGTATTTATCCGCTTCGTACAGCTTTTGATAATGTGCGAGCTAGCTTTTTTTCTCTACGTAACGGCTTCCTCACTAGTGCAAATACACATTTATATCGATTTTCTGTGAGTTGTTTGATCTATAAATTTTTAGACCCATTTTGTTTCTTAATAGCATTGTAATCTTTTTAGCAAAGCACTCACTCCTCATATCATGTATGCTGTAACCGTAACTCCTCTAAGCATTGTCTTGGCAGTTGTGTTTTCGTATCGATCAATACAGGGCCTATTTGCTGTAAAGTAAGATATCCGAACCTAATGGCAGTATCCAGGCAATCTGAGTACCCAACCTTTTTGTGTGGAAACTGAACTGATTAGTAAACCTAGCCAAGCCGTTACTTGTAGCTCTTGTGATTTTACAGCCAAGGTATTCGACCGTATACCTTGACCCACACCTACTTTCCTTAACGGAACCATCAGCTGTACGCTGGGTAGGGGACTATATGCCGTCGAAAGGGATGGTCCCGCGCGACATCTGCAATAGATCACGCTTCGTACTTATACCAACTACTCTTCGCGTTGGATAGAGCCTATTGGCGCCATATAGTCCCCTAGCTGAGTAAAGACTGTTTTCTTTCGGAATTTCGGAATATGGATCAAATGTTTGCTTGGTCAAGGCTTAGTTATCAGTAACGTGCGACCTCTCCAACTCGATTCACCACACTACTTTCAAGGCTTTAATTGAGATAAGGGTTTTTGAAGCTTCACAACTGCTGCAGAGCCTGTGAGGGCATTATACGGGCTCATAGCCCTTATTTGTTCACGGCTTGTTTATGGTGGAGTTATCGTGGCAGCAGGTAGGTTTTTATGAATTTTCGATAACACTATATATAGCGCATACTTAATTGTAAACCTTAGTTTCAGGGTTTGTACTCAATAACGAAATTGCTTCCAAGGCTACCAAAGACTCACTTGCGAAGAATGTGGCGCACTTGATACACTACGCAACAAAGGATCCAGAATATATGGAGGTTTGTGTTTTTTAGGGAACGAGTAGTGTCGTGGTAAAGGCGCCGCTGATTGGATGTGGGAAAAATCCTGCGAAACTACAACTTGCTCATAAAAATTGCCCACTATATCAAATACTCAAATGTACCGCTCCTGTATTTTTTCCTCATCTAGAAATCGAGAAATGGAAAATTTTTCAGTTTTTACAAAAATAAGGCTATGCTCTTTCTACTCATGTAGCTGTATACCACAAGCCCTTAGAAGTATAACCGTAAATTTTCAGCTTTCCAGAAGCCCTAGTTTTCGAAAATTACCTAATTTAGCATCGAACACCCGAGTGAGAGAAACTAAATTTGGTAATTCTCGAAAACTAGAGGTTCTGGAGAGCTGAAAATTTACGGGAAAATTTACGGTTATACTTCTAAGAGCTTGTAGTATAGAGCTGCATGAGTAGAAAAAGCACAGCTTCATTTTTGCAAAAACTAAAAAAATTTCCTTTTCTCGATTTCTAGATGAGGAAAAAATACAGCAACCGTACATATGAGTGTCTGATATAGTGTGCAATTTGTATGAGCAAGTTGGAGATTTGTAGGATTTTTTTGAGCGAAGATATGAATTTTTTAAACTTTTTTGAGCCTTCAGTGCTATACTCATATTCCGGATGCAAACTCACGGTGGGTCGGAGCTGGTGGAATTTTTGCAAACTATCTTGTAGAGCTTGCTTTGCTCTATCGAATGGTACCCTGGTGCCCTATCAAAATTACGAAGTTCACGACTTATCGTCGCAAGAAATTAAAGTGTAACAAAACTTATGTAACAGCCTAATAGAAACTGAAACAGATCGAAACTGCATAAATGAATTCCAAAGCGAAAAATGCTTGACAGAAACCAACATATATACATTTGATATAAAGTATGGGCTTAACTGAGAAATGAACAGTTATAAGCATGGCCTTTTATAGCAGATCGCATGCGTTGTTAGGATCGCTCTCCTAAATCAACCTGTTGCGGTTTCACTTATAAAGAAAGACACCTAGGCCCGCTTTTTTTTCGCTCTTTCCCCATGTAGCTATGGGGAAAGATACTTGGTGACCGTGGGCTTTTGCAGTGGTATTTATATCAGTAGATGCGTCTTGAAACTCTGATACCAGATCTATGTGCAATACTACCGTGCGACTCCCTAAAGGAAGTCATGGATTTTTTCCATATTGATTCCACGAGATCTAGGCAGTGAGAATAGTCAGTATCTAAGCTTTCTAGACTCCGATATAGTGGAGACAGTTTTTCTGGGCTTAACGTAAACTTTTTGTTATTTGGACGCTCTTTTATAGTGCTAAATTAACATTCTAACGATATGGGTCAATATTGTCATAAAAAACAGCGCAAATTTTGGTGGCAAAAAAATGTTTATAATTTCTTTGAAAGAGTGCACAGCAGATAATAAAAGCGGATTTGTAATCAGCGCTTCGAGATGCATTTAATAATGCATCATTCATTTTAAAAGGCCACGGCACCCAAGTATCTTTTATTTGTAAGTCAGGTGCCTCCTTATAAGTAGAACAAGAACAGATCGGTTTAGGAGATAAATCGAATTCAGCAGAATTTCCAATGCTGTGGAGTGAGCACGAATATCGATGTGGGAAACGGTAGATAACCTATACTATCATCCTCTCTACTCAATCAACTGAATGTGCAATTTTAGCGACGTACACGTCTTCCGACCATCCATGGAACATGTGGTTTGCTACCTATTCCTTGGATGAGACATACCCAAACACTATCCGGGAACTGTACTCTTTACCATGGTCTTGCTGCAATATGACAGCCAATGTTAAATGCGAGCATATCGGCATTTCGAGATATCTGCGGACATTCGAGACGCCTACAGATTTTAGTGATGTTGAAGCTGCTTTGGAAGTGGAAGAGCTCAAATGGGTGAGTTATCTGTAATTCTGAAGCTCAAAAATCAATTTTTGACTCGCAGAACCCTACCAATTTTGACCATTATCTGTCGAGAAACAAAATTGCTGAAGCCACATTGTACTCAAGTGACTGTTCTGAGAAAATGTTCGAGCGGCTCGCGGAAGAAGTATCTCATTTAAGGGATTTGATGTTTCAAACAGGTACTTATGGTGGCGGTCCGAGAATTATTTTGGAGGAGGGGAGAGGGGGGGGGGAAGCAAGGACCAAAATGATTTCCAACTGGAAAAGCGTGGTATTAGTCGCCCGCCCCCATCGGAAAAAATTGTCGGATACTTTCCGAAATATCTGTGGACCCGTAGTCCCAGCACCCCCAAGAAACTTTTTCACAAGGCTAAATCGCATTTCTAAAAAGATTCAAAAATTTGATTTATTTACAAGTAAAGGCAAGCTATTTGCGCTAATTCATAGCTCATCTAGGCTACATTCATTTTTTCGACTTTGTACCCGCACCGTGAGCGGCGGCTATCTTCGCGCTCTTTTTTATCAATGGTATTGACTCGTTCTCAGGCCGACAAATCCGGCTCTTCTTTTTCTCCTGTAAATGTTGGATTGTTGCCTAATGATTTCGCTGGTGCTGACTCAACTCCTGATTCTAATTATCTCTTGATCTATCAGTACATCTAAGTACGATATCAAATTCTTGCAAATGTCCCGAACGTGCCACAGCAGGTCATGGATTCAATGCTGCATGCACTGCAGGCCGTTCTGACTAGCTCGCATAAGATCTGTGAGGAATTTTTTCGTCTTAGAAGTATTGTAGTTCATGGTATCCCTGAGTTGCCCTCTGATGCCCGCCCTTCGGTAAAACAGGCCGACGTGGAAGCCAAAGTATCCGAAATTCTGGATAGCCTTGGTGTAGAGGCCAAGCCAACCGCGGTCTTTAGGATGGGTAGGGGCACCCAGAAGCCACGTTTGACCAAAGTCATGTTTCCGGCTAGGTCGCAATGTCTTGCTGTTCTTGGGAGGGCAAAGCTTTTAAGGAATAACCCGCGGTTTTCTAGTGTCTTTATCAGACCTAGTCTCACCGCGGATGAACGCAAGAGACATTTTGAACTGCGCAGGGAGGCACGTGAAAAGAACCAGGCATTGGGCTACAAGGGCTATGTTGTCTATCGGGGTGAGGTGGTCAAGATCACCGACATAAGTCGAGGGCAGAATCCACGTCAGGAAAACTGAATTCTTTGCATGGTACTTGTATGATGAGTTGCATCCTACTTAATGCCCGTAGTCTTGTAAACAAAATCGATTTGTTTCATCTTTTTCTCGTTCATGAAAAACCTGACATTATCTTCGTAACTGAATCTTGGCTGACTCCAGCCATTGAATCTTCTGAATTATGTCATGGTCTTCCATACACGATTTTCCGTAAAGATCGAATCAAACGACGTGGGGGAGGTTTGTGTGTTCTTGTTCGTGATATCATTTTATGTGAAGATATGCCTACTCCCAGGCAAATGACTGATATTTTGTCACTGAAAATTACGAATATCGAGTCGCAATCTAACTGTTTCATCATTCTTGTTTATCGTCCTCCCTCCTCCACATTCAACAACGATTCTTACCTTATTGATTTTTTGCAAAACTTCTGTAGTAATCATCCCAATGTCGTCCTGATGGGTGATTTCAACCTTGCTATTGATTGGTCAAATAAGACTCCCTTAAATCCTACTTCTAGAAGATTTATGACTTTGTTTAATGAACTTTCGCTTGTTCAGCATGTCTTTCATCCAACTAGAATAAACAATGTGTTGGATCTTGTCTTATCATCTAATCCTGTTGTTCACAATGTAATTGTTAAGCCTTCTCTCTGTGGTTCTGACCATGCCAGTGTTCATTTCAATCTTTCAATACCCATTGATACTTCCTGTGTGGATTCCCATTTTGACTACATGGGCGGTGATTACTTGGCCATGTCTTCCGCTTTAGACACTATTGATTGGTGGACATTACTTGATGCCACTTCGATCAATGATGCCTATCAACGATTTATTGATTTGATGCATGACTTGCTCTCGCGATTTGTTCCGTACAAAAAGAAAATGAGTAGACCTTGCGATTATCCTTTGCACATCAAGAACTTGATTGAACAAAGAAACAGGTTGTTCTGTACATCTCGAAATCCCCTAGCCTCTGCAATGTATAAGCACATTACTAAAGAGTTATCCAGGCACTTATAGGTTTAGTGCTTATAAACAGAGGAGGCTAACAATGATGAATACTGCTTCTCTGTTCAGATATGCTCGTTCATTTCTTAAAGAACCAGCGAAGGTGCAGATATTGCGGGATGACCAAGGAAATGTCATCAAGACAGATCAAGAGAAAGCTGAGCATCTAGGGCGCTACTTTGCGTCGGTTTTCCGAGCTCCATCGAATCCCCCCGACAACAATGACTCTCAATACGACATCAGATCATGCCACTCCTGTCTTTCTCGAATTTCACAGGTGCTTCCTTGGGAGATTGTGGGCATTTTGAGAAAGCTCAAATCATCCACGTTTTTGACAACTGATGGCATCCCCCAGATTGTATTTAAAAGATGCGCCAACCAATTGGCTACTCCTGTCTCTATTCTAATCAATCTCTCCTTGAGCAGTGGAGAGCTCCTAGATGTATGGAAGCAAGGAAAAGTCGTACCCATACCTAAGGTTCAGAGTCCATGTAAGGTTACCGAGTTTCGGCCGATATCCATCAATTCTGTTGTTTGTAAAGTTGCCGAGAAGATTGTTAGAAGGAAGTTGTTGGCATTTTGTGCACAAAACCATCTCATTCCAGTTGAACAGTTTGGGTTTATCGAAGGCTCTTCGACCACCCTTCAATTATTGGTCTGTGAACATCACTGGAAAAAAGCTTTATCTCAAAATCGATTTACCGATGTTCTTTATTTTGATCTGTCTAAAGCCTTTGACAGAGTAGACATTCCCAAACTGCTTGAAAAGCTTTTCCAAGTAGGAATTCGTGGAACTGTTTTGAAATGGCTCTCATCTTATCTGTCCAATAGGACTTTTTCCGTCCGCTGTAATTCTGCTGACTCTTCCTTCTACTCAGCAACTAGTGGAGTGCCACAAGGTGGTGTATTGTCCCCTGTACTTTTCAATATTTACACAAGTGACCTTCCTGGACTCTTAACTACAGACTGCAGAGTTAAGGTTATGGCCTATGCTGATGACATTAAAGTGTTTGCATCCTATGTTGATGCTGATAGAGGTGAAGTTACACAAGCCCTTAGAGACTGCCTGCAGAATATTCTGAATTGGGCCTCTCTTAACAGTATTGACGTTAACCTAACAAAAAGTGCCTGCCTGACAATCTCCAAAAGAAAGGAGAATGATTGCACCTTTGAGAAATACGAGCATTCTGGTACCTCTCTTTTTAGGCCTGGATTAATAAGAGATCTTGGGGTGCTAGTTGACCAAGAGCTTCGATTTAGATCCCATATCGAGAAAATAGCACGTGCAGCCCTGCACAGACTCTTCCTCTTGCTACGTAACTTGAAGCATGTTGATGAGAAAGTTTACATCAGAATGTATATGGCTTATGTCCTCCCGCATTTAGAATATGCTAGCCAAGTTTGGAGTCCATATATAAAGAAGGATATCTTGACTTTGGAAAGAGTTCAGATGACTTTTACTCGTATCCTTTTCTATAAACTTATGCCTAACGACGATTACCCAGCTGCCCTCCCGTCCTATAGAAGTAGGTTGGCCCGCTTCAAGCTCCATAGCCTGCTTTACCGAAGGGTTGTTGCTGATCTAGTACTTGCCTTCCAAATATTACGTCTCGAGACTAAGCTTTTGCCTAGTGAATTTTGGGTTTGGAAGCCTTGCCACGGACGTACAGGTAGGTTTAATTTTTACTGTGCTGATTCAATAGGATCAACAAAATTGAACAAGCTTTTTTATAACTCCTTTTTTGTTCGTACTGCACGTTGGATGCAAAAATTGCCTGACTCTGTCATCTCTTCTGTTAACTCAAAATTGTTTAGAAAAAAGCTTTTGGAATGCGACTTTTTAAGTTTGTTAGGCATTGACGAGTCTGAATACTTTTAGATGTAGGGTCTCTTTTACAAGGTGTGTCTTTCGTTCATTTCAATCCGTTTTTTCTTCTCCTCTTTTTTTCAGAAAATGGTTAAATTCGGCTGACTACTTTACATCTTCTTTCTTGCCACGTCTTTTTCATCTGCGATAAGCTTGGGAGTTTAGCTTTCTCTTTAGTTTGTAGTTGTTTTTCTCGGTTTCCTTTTTAGATCCCGCTTCTCGGCGGATTCAAGGTGTGTCGTCCAGTATACGTTGAAACGCATGATCGAGTTCCAGTTCTTTTATTTGCCTGTACTACCTTTCCTTTTGTAAGAGTGTAAGATAGATGCCGTTTCGTATTGTTTGATCTTTGGTTTGATGATGTGTCAGTTCAATTCGACTGAGACATATTTGTCGTTCTGGGTCTAATTTTTCTTTTCTTCCTGGTACATAAGGCTAACCTAAGGAGACTGCCCGAAATATTTTTTACCGAGCATATTTCCAGTTTTCCTATTGAGTTTGTGGCTCATCCAGTATTTTGGTTGTACTAGGGTTGCCTAGTTTGTCGCGCTAGCATGCCCTTTTCATAGTCTCCGTCATACTCCTTGAATGTAGGTCGCTTGCTGGTCAGCGAGGGTGGCATGCGCAGACTCATATGAATATCCTTTATGGCAGCGCATCTGATAGTTAGTCCTTGTGTTCTATCATTCATTAGTTAACCTAGAGTGGCGAATGGTCTCAAAAAAAGCTATTTTATTTTTCTGCATTAAGCCTTTCTTGTCTCTGAGTTTGTGTATTTCTAACACTGATTTTTGTTCTCAAGAATCTGTTGGTTACTAACCCGACACTATGGCGCGCCTGTGGCGTATTCAAATAAATAAATAAATAAATAAATAAATTCAAAAATTTAGCAACGCGTTCCCACCCCCACACCCCTCAGTTCGTCCCTGGTATTACGACTTGTAGCCGACGTAACCGAAAAAGAAGTTTGATTTAGATGTCTCGAAACAGCTTTGCTATCTTTTGCCCCCTCCCCCCCCCCCCCCTCCTTCGCATTGGAAACCAGTCGCAAAATCCTTGTGATCAACATAGTTCTAGGAATACGCAGCGAATTTTTGTGGATTTCTCTTGAAAAATCAAACCAACCTTGTAAATAAAATACCACGATTATAGCCATGATTACGCTTTCCAAAAATTAGTAAGCTCGCTTAGGAGCCGAATTTGCGTCTTCAAAATTTCGAAGCGCTTGGCCGATACCCAACTCGCCATTATGAAAAAAATCTGCTGTCTCCCTTCCCCCCCCCCCCTTCTTGACTCTCCCGAATCTCTGCAACTACCTACTTCTCTCTCTTGCTTTTAGGGATGGTAATGATGGGCATGACCTTGCCCATAGTTGGAGTGAAGGCTCACTTATTCCTAATTATAAGGAGTCTCTCAACTCCCGCAGGTTCGTTCAGTTTCCATATGTGGCTTGATCTGAAATTACAATGATACTTTTCAGAAACTGCAGCAAGCGGTATAAGCAAGAAATAAACGAGATGTATGCTTGGAGTTTTGAAACTATGATGCAATCTATGAAACAAATATAAGTTAAGCATTGTTGATGTTTTTGTTTTGTGAATATCACCGAATAATCTGAATAAATGTTAAGGCTTATATTTTGTGTAGAAGGCACTTCTAAATTGCGAAGTACGTACACAAGTCCTCCTGAGTGCATGAAGCAGCTGCTAAAAACATTGTGTACCTATCATAGTAGTACTACTATTAGTATAAAGCACGGTACGCAAGCAGATGAATCTAAACTAAAGTGGTCCGAGAATGAATTTGGGAAGCTCGTAGTTCAACACGTTACGCGACTAGTGAACGACTGACTGTAAAGGTGCTAGATTTGCAGGCGCTTTCGCTGCGGGACCCGCTCAGTTTCCCGCAATTCCACTTTTACTGAATAGGCACGACAGTTCTTTATTTAAAGATTTAGGCTGCACGACAATCTTTTATTTAAAGATTTAGGCTCAACACCTATGAGTAAACGCAAAGTATTTTGTTTCTCTGTGAAGTTATGATAATACAATTATGAATTCGTGTAACAAAATATGAGAAATTTTAACCTTTGAAAAATCAAAAGATGCTTTTGGGCAAAAAAGATTCAATCTGGAGTTCAGCGGAACCCTCTGACAATCACGGCTTTGATTTTGTGCATACAGCTTTCGCACTAATACCTCCACCATGCTAGAATGCTGCCCGTATTCGTTAAATTCCAGGACCAGGAACTGCACTGCTTCACTATAGTACTCTACTGTGCACAAAATAGGTACTCTTAAGTGAATGACTCGTAGGGCCAACTCAGACAACTGCATCGGGAAGTTCGCGGGTGCTTGCTCGGCCACCAATCATCCATGCCGCGAGCTGCCCGGTATAAACCGATATTGGGCTCGATAAGTGACCGCGGCGCGTCCTGTAAGCGCCCGATAGTTGACCCGATTAGCATGCTTGTGAGGCCTAGGAAGAGTGAAGAATCTTTTGGTTTGTCTTTCATGACAAGACTTGAGTGCAAATTGGGCAACTTGTTAGCTCATCTGCCGACATCATCTAGTGTCGTCGATAACACTTCCGCTGAAGTTCGTTTCGTAAGCATAGAAACACAACTGACATACAGGACCAAACCGAGAAGCGATTACCCAAGCTCGCAAACACTTAGGGTAGCCCCATCGCTGCAGCGTACCTCACGCGGGTTGCGCCTTAACCTACAGCGTGTAAGAAATGCGGCCCTTGATAAGGCCCGCGGCACGCCGAGTGAGGTGATTGGGCCGCGACTCTCCCGATGATCTCTTCCCAATTTCAACTTTGGCCGCGGCGTTCCCGGTAAAATATACATGGGCCGCGGCGTGCGCGGCTGAAATTTTAAAGCCCGCGGCGCGCCATGTAACACGCTTTGAGGCCGCGAGCTTTCCGATGCAATTGTCTGAGAAGACAATGTTCTAAGGTCGGCTAATAAATAAGTTCAATCGCTTTTGCGGCTCTTACAAATGATGACAAATTTTTCTCCAGTGTTTGGTATCTCTGGAAAGAGCACTTTAATGGGAATTGGGTAATAAGTTTTGTTTATGTAGAACTTATCTTCCATGGAAAAAATCCGCAAAGATGTGAGACCCCAATTTCTTAAAGTGCGCGAAGAGCAAACTCGGTTTTTTTATAAATTTCGAAGTGACAGATCACAATTTTCACTGTTATTTTCTGAATAGGGGAAACTCCTCTCTATTCGAACACCTAAATGCTGTTCTCTAAATCCATTACAGCATGAAAACGAAGCCTAGGAAGTCAAAGAATTGAGCTTTTAGAAATTTGACCAGTATTACGTTGAGGCATAACTGTCTGTACTGATGATAGAGAATTCCGAATATTTATATGTAATAGAGAAGCTTTGTTCTACTTTTCCACAAAAAATCATAGATAGAAAGCAACGAATTTTATGAACATTTGCGTGCCGAAACGAATTTACTTTGTACTCAAATTAATAATAGGTTGGTGCAAAACTAATGAGCGTTTTCCCATTTTTCACTTTAACTTGCTATAACTTTCTCAAAATCTACATTTTGAAATGTGATAAAGACCATCAAATGCAGCGAACCTTTTGCAGTGCAGCGCACATTGAACTATACTCATATCTCATATGGGCAGAAAAATGAGAATTGAAAAACAAAAAGAGTTTTTTTTTCTGAAGCCTTGTTTTTGACAGAACATAACCCTTTCACACTTTGTTCTTATGATTTATAAGCAGCCTATCTTGTAGCCGCAAGCCAGTAGTACAAATATCAAATATACATGGAAACGGTTTGGAGAAAAAAGATTAGCGAAGAGGAAAAAATCGAAATTCAAAAATATCAACTTTTTTGGCATTTTTTCAGTAGGCCTCAAAACCCCGAAGTAGAGAATTTTTTAATTTTCTGCGTACTGAAAAGCTGGATGTTTTTGCAAAAACCGCTAATGGTCTTCTACCCTCACGCTTACAGAGATGAGCAAAGTTTGAGCGACTGCATTTTACAAAAGGAAGTTATGGGCTCTAAAATGACCACAACAAGTACCCATGTTAAGCCGCCGACACCTCACTTTAGATAACTTGAAAAAATATGGTTGAATATGCATAATGTAGACAATTTCCATTACATATAGCGGCTAAATTTTCGGTGAACCATCTTCACGCGCGCTCAAATTCTGGCCAGAAAAATGAGTGCAACGAAAATCTAATTTTGAGTCCGATTATGTGAAGCTCTATAAATTCTTAACAGAGTGGGCTAGAAGTTCCTTTCGAACATCGTCAGATAGAGCATGAAAACAGCTTTCTAACAATGTGCTGAAACCGTTAAAAAGAAAGACGTTTGTTGGAGAAAAGTTATCCCGAAAAAAGTCCTAGGAAAACGCTCATTATTTTTGCACCAACCTAATATGAGGAGATCTTACTATCTCGCCTTCACCGATACAGTTTAAGATCCCCTACATCCACCGAAACATCCATTACTCCACTTTACAAGCAGGCCAAAATGGACTAATAAATTTTTTGACAATTTGGAAGACAGCCGTAAAGATCTGGCACCGAAACTTTTGAAACATTTTGAAATAATTTTGGAGAATCCTAGTACTTTACTCTCTTGCAATTTTATTGAGAGAAATGGTATATTGCAAACATCATAAATTATTTCCAGAACGTCCTGCGAGGATGTAGAAAGTGACATATCCTAGTATAAGAGAGGATATGAATATCTCTCCAACATGTTATCTTCGGAACATCACAAGGTCACCGTCATATGTATCTCATACCTAGGGTATAGGCATTATATCTTGCCATGGAACCTCACCTTGCACCATTGTTGGCCTAAAATATCCAAACTTTTCACCTAATAAGTGTATTTTTAGGCCATGGTTTCGGCAAGAACCACAACCGTGCTAATGTCGGCTTTTTCCACCACTTGTTTCTTTATGATTTCAACTATTCTGCCGATGTTTTTTATACGAATGCAGAGGGCCAATACGTTGATGTTTACGCAAATACACAAATGTCATGTGAGTGACAGACTTCTTCTACGTAAATTGATTTTCATTGTTAATATTACGTTTCAGCAAGACTCCAATGATATTTGGCGGCAGCTTACGCAGTCGAAATTGCTAGGAAGAACACGACGACAGTATCAGACTGGAGGATATGAAGCTTCGGGACCACCAGCTCCGAGTGGATCGTGTGGGTTCTTACATGCATAGCTACCGTAATCTATCAAAATAAATTCAAGTTGTAACTGCAAGTCCACCAAATTGATCTTCAAAAAAAGTTATCCCACAGCAGTCCGAACGTTCACTTTCAGGCGTTGTAACTTACTTTCCTTCCTGCCGTAATCTATGATCTACAGTACCTTGAAAAAGACTTGCCAGACTGGTAGACGCCAATAAACGATAAATTGATTTGAACGGCCCACCCTTCTTCGGATGGACCCCCTAATCTGTTTTTTTTTCAGGTTGCAGCTGTCAGCAGGGACCTCCTGGACCGCCCGGACCTCGAGGACAGGACGGAGATCCTGGCAAGTTTCCAATCTATAGACTTTTTTATTTAAAATGACGCCATGAATCGACAAAGAAGACAATATCTGACGTCTATAATGAGTTACCGTAATGCTACAGTAATATTTCCTGTTTTCTAGGTAGAGCAGGTCGAGTTGGCAGTGACGGTCGTAATGGTCACAATGGTCGTTATGTAAAATCTGCAGCTAGCGCCGAACCCCCATGTCAGAAATGCCCAATGGCTCCGCCAGGCCCTCCTGGACATCCTGGACATAAGGGACCACGCGGACGAGCTGGGTAAGCTAAATGCATAGTTAGTACGCATTAATTTGAATAATTTTTTGCAGAACCCCTGGTAAAAATGGTACACCCGGAACCCCCGGACGCCCAGGGCCACGTGGTCCCTCAGGCGTACGTGGAGCACCGGGTGAACCAGGCATGCAAGGGCCACCTGGCGATTCTGGGAAAGTTCTAAATGCTGCGCCGCAGGGACCACCGGGAAGGCCTGGTAAGTTTCAAAGACGCGATAATAGGTGGCATACCTGAGCAGGAATAGAAGACGTTATGTCGCCGATCTTTACTAGCGGATAACTGTCACAACGCACGCGTATTAAACAATACGGTTGATATTAGTTGTCCGGGCTGACGCACCCCATTGGGGCATAGCGCCCTCTGGGTTATCCATCATCCAACCTTCTTAGAAGTACAAAAGTCGCATTTTCTTTCCAGGACCAATAGGACCACGAGGAAAGCCAGGAACAGCTGGACCGTGAGTGTTACTTTGAGATAAACTAATGTGTAAAAGACCAAAGTGCATTCCGGTTTTCTTTCGCACCCCTAGACGGCTCATTTTGCGCCGCATATTATTTCGTCCGTGCCCAGATGTTTGTAGCCAACCAGAAATTTACCATTTGTCTTTCTTCTGTTCCTTGTTCGTAAACAAGGCCCCACAAACAAAGCAGCAGGCATCTTTACCGTTCACCTTCACTGCCAAGGTGAAGACCTTGTCCCAGAGATATGATCGACGGTTAGATAGAATCTCGGCGGGAACATGAGGGGTGTACAGACCAAGTGAAACTAGACTGGTTTCGCAACATAAGGTAGTCGTTCTTATCGTTCTTACTTTACACCACACTCTGTAAGTTTTCTTTTGACAAATACTGACAGTGTAAAAATTTTTGGGCGAGGGGGGGGGGAAGGGATGGTGGAGTCAAATAAAAGTTCTCACATGGACGTGTAATCACGGCTCAAGAGTTTCGCTCAGAAATTTGATCTATCAGTAGTATTCTCTGCAAATATTGGATTGGTCCGTCAAAACAGGCTAAGACAAAAGTACGCACTTAATATTATGAAATTTTATTTTTATATTTTTCTTGTGTTTCATTAATGAAGATGTGTTGAGATATATAAATATAGATAATACAAAAAGAAGAATTAATATTAAATTTTTACCCATTTATTGATTTTTTATCAAGTGTCGGCCAATATTTCTGAAAAATCGTAATATCTACTTCCAACGAAATTGTTCGATTTGTACCCTAGAAAAAAATCATGCGAGTTTTTAAGCGCTTAAAGCGGAAATGAATTTTGGCTTAACAGGATAATACAAGCTGATCAAAAAAACCTCCCTCAAATTGCAGTTCGAATTTTAGTCTCTAAAAATGTTAGGAGTTTCAAATCAGATTGTATTCGTGATTTTGTTTCATTTACTTTCAATAATGGGTAGACTTTTGTGATGACTGGATGTTCTTAATGATATTAGTTATGCCTTTCGACTCCAATTTTACATTTCAGTTTTGTTTCAAATGAAATTTCTAAAATGCTCAGTAAAATGTGTAAAGCACTTGCTGTAGGTTAGCAGCAAATAAAAATTTGCGTTTCCAAATATTTCTAAGCGGATTTTTGTCGTTTTGTTCAAGAATTATGAACCATTTCTAAAAGTCATTGTCTGTTGCTATGAAATGATTTTTGAATGACTCGCCAATTTGCTAGGAAAATTTTAGCTATGTCAATACCTAAATTAGAGTCATTTAACTTTTTTTGTTCTGTAGAATCAGTGTTTTTGTGGAGAAACTCTGGACGATATAAATGACAGACATTCTTTTTTCCAAAAAATTCCACCCCCTCCCCCTTACCGCCTATCGAAAATATTGTTTTGATTGCTTAACCTTTGATTCAACTGGATCGGCGGCTGCAAGGCGGGACTTTGTGAGTGTTCGTGCTCTCTGATCATTCTCTAGCCTTAACCAGGTCACGAAGCCCCGCCTCTTAGCTGCCATTGCAATTGAATCAAGGGTACACTGTACACATGTTTATTTACAAAACCCATTATCAGTCCATCATAAAAGAGGGAGGGTTCATTTTTTTGCTTGATAACTCTTAATCTGCTATCAACCTTCGATCCGTTCCTGTCACCGGCAACAACTCAAACAAAGCCGCTTATCAAAGTTTTTTCTCTGGGCAAGCACCCCCCCCCCTCTCCCTGCGAAACGGCGAGATAACAGCTTCTCAATTCGTATCACGACTCTTTCAGCCTAGTCGGCCCATAAAATTTTATGACCAATTTTTGCCAACGAGGCTATGATTAATTCAAAACTAGTTTTAAGCGCTTTGAGTCACAGTTCAAAATTGCAAAATGCTACAGAAACTTGTTCTCGGAGTGCTCGGGACCTCTTTTTCAGTACATAATTAGCGTAAGTGCGTGACTCATGTCAATGAGAGATTGGGACCGGATTTCACCCATCGCATTACAGAAGAATAGAGGAGGTAACGAAATCCTGCTGCAATTCACTTTATAGTGATTCACCCCCTTCCTCTCAAAGCAACCTCGATATTACTCTCCTCTGTTGATACTTGATAGGCATTAGCCTTAACAAGAATTCAACGTTATCAAACTTCGCTACACTCCATTGTCTTATATCCCTTCCTACCTGAAAAAATGCATGTTGCTTCAACCTACGAAGCAGAGATCCCGTCAAATCGCGCCGCGGCCGCATGCATCCCCAGTTCAATGGAGATTGCATAAGCAATCTTATAGCATAACAAGCCCAATTTTTCCATTTATAAATAAAAATAAATGATCTAGAAATCGTTATTTATATTCAAAATGACAATGAAATTCGCGCAAAAATGAGACAGAGATCTGCCAAACCGCGCCGCGGCCGCGCGCGGCTCCCAATCGATAACAAAACAATTGCAAGTAAAACATGTAAATTGCAGATGCGCCTTTTGCATATCTTAGTATTTGAGGATCGGGTTTTCATTTTAAACTCCAAGCATTTCCAAATCTGTGACACAAATCAGTTTTAACAACCTCGCCATACACCTCCATTTTCTGCTTTTCGCATCCGTAGCCGGTTCCTTCACCATGATTAACGCCATACTTCCAATTTGCAACAAAAGCAGATCTCACCACTTTTTCTCGAATCCAATTTGTTCCTGACAAGGCACTTAAATAGTTTCGTAAACCATTCTATTCATAGCCAGCCAATCTTTTAAGTATTGTATTTTGTTTTTAAACGAGATAATAGCAAGTGCCCATCTTAATTTTACAAGACTTTGTTTGCGCTGACAGAAATAGTATCGTTTATACTTTTAATGCACTTCATCGATGATTTGTCAAAGCAGAGTTAGTCAAAGTAAAACACACTTTTTGTACTTTTGAGATATAGATAAGAGAGGGAGAGGGAATAGAGGGGTAGACATTGAGGCACTTGCTATGCGCACCTATCAACTGTCTTGCGCCCACCACCTAGCCACAGATTGTGAACAAATTCCTTTTTTCCAAATTTTGTGATTCCTCATTTTCCTCCCATTTCAAGACCTACACTGACCTAATCCCTCAATCAACAGCCAAACTCTCCATCAAAAAATTCATCGCAGTATTTGTTTTCGTTTAATTCAGAGATAAAAACGTGCTCCAAGCTTACTCTCATCATTAAATGTATTAATGCCATGTAGTGTTCACTTCATACCCATTAGTAATAAAAGTGAAATAGTAAGCGATTGAGAAAGCTCCGAAAATCAAAATTGGTGTAAGGCTGACCGAAAATTAATATTATTTTAACATGCAAATCTCTAAAATAAATCAACTTTTTGTTAACTAAAGATGTTCGGCGAGAAAGCAGTATCAAGATTCTATTGTCACGTACTAATCACTCGAAAAAATCTATCAGTAATAAATGACAGTCATGCCTCAACTTGGCTAGCTTTCCAAAACTCATTTCTTTGACGAATTATAAGACTCGTTTCACGCTATGTGGATGCACAGATGAGTGAACTTGATGATTGGATACAAAGTCCTTCTATTTAGCGAATAAAAATAGGAGCTGCGACCTACGATTTCAAATTACTGTAGAAAATTTGAAATTTTCTCACATTTGCAAGCCATGAAAAAATTGGTTTTCTTACCGTCTCTTGCCTTTTCTTCTTTATGAAAATGCTTTCCACTCAATCATAGCCTCGTACCTTATAACTCTCAGGAAAACACTCTTTTTAAACATACAGCAACAGTAGAGTAAATCAGCAGTAAGTCGTAACAATTTTGCAAGTCGTCAATTCAAAAATTGTCCCTTAGCTAAGCTAGTTTATTATGACAGATGATGAAAGTGAGACATTTTCACTGCTCATTTTGTCTAAACTGTGGTAGCTCTAAAATGCCGAAGGTTGCTCTTAGCATATAAACCAGACTTGTGTTTTCTTGCAGAATCCTCTCATCATTGAAAAAATATTGCAGTTTCAATAGTCCCCCGAATTGTTAATTATTGAAAATTATTCATAAAACTTCATGATTCATTTGCAGTGATTAACAATTTGGCGGACTGATGATGCAAAAGAGCGGCGGTCAGGTTGGCGCCAGAGTTGATTCGTTACCATTTTCGAAAAGTTTACTTCCCAGTCTTGATGGATAATTTGTCAAAAATACAAATTTGCGATGGCGCCTCATCGGCTCACCGCCAAGCACTGATCACAGAGATAGGAGCAAAAAGGAAAGACCACTCATGTTTGCTTGATTATAAGTAGTTCTTTGAAAATTACAGATGTTGCAATTCCCTCTTAAAAAAGATGATAGTAGTAAGAGTGAAAGTTCCAGCGCATTGATTTTATTGCTAAAGCCTATAATTCATAGCTGCATTTTAAGGATAGAGCCTAGTACTTGCTAAAAAGCACAGTTTAGGATTCCCGTGCGCATTAAGGACAGCCCCGTAGATTGAGACCTCAAAGCACAATCTAGATTTCAAATTAATTCCACAATATACTATTCTATTTTTTTCAACGTCTTTTATTCTATTACTTTGTTCAAGCATTCCTAACCCTTCAGTAAAAAAGTGGGTTCAGCTGATAACATGCAAACTTTTTTTCACTATATTAACTTCATATTCGTCACCATGTCCATTGACAAAAATTTCTGTCAGTGCTGCCCTATGTTTTGCAAACCATTATAACCATAGAAATCAGGGAACCGACTCCTAAGTGCCCCTCTTCGCTGTTGATCGACGAATCTCCAGTGACCGGTTCTCATTTTGCTCTCCCCTCTGAGCGCAAACAAAGACACAAAGAGCACACGCATTATCCTATTAATTAACATTGGCGAGCCGATTGTGACCGCTTTGATAAGTGGTTTCATCGCCAGGGACAAGTAGGATCATTGCTGAAAGCACATTATATGCTACTGATATTTTTGCTTATAAGGAGACAGTTTTCTTAACATCTGATTATTCGCAGTCCTGGTCCCTCACTTGATTGTGATGCCGTGGAAAGCAGCTCCTAGTTT